ACTACGGTTCAGGATCGTCAGACGTATATTCCCCAGACTATTTAATCGAAGAAAACGTAATCTTGGTCACGTTTAACTATCGCCTTAATGTTTTAGGTAAAATACTAAGAGAATTCAGGAACCTTATATTCACGTTACATAAATATTTAGTTAACATATATTTATATGTTTGATATTTTATTTGGGTAATTCATAATTATACAATTTTTTTTAACAAAAAAGGATTTCTAAATTTGGATATCGATGATTGTCCCGGAAACATAGGGTTAAAAGATCAATTGTTTGCATTTAAGTGGGTAAAAGAAAACATATCAGCATTTGGAGGCGATGCCAATAACATAACAGTTTTTGGCGAGAGCGCTGGATCAGCGTCGATCCATTACCATGTACTCTCTGCATCATCGAAAGGTAAATGTTTTTTTATACTCTAAGGCGGCTAGATACTATCAAAATAGTTTTTTGGAATCGGGTGATTTAAGTGTGTTCCAAAGGGCTATTATGCAAAGTGGTTGTGTTCTTAATCCTTGGGCATTTACTTCGAAACACAAAAACGCTGCGCTTAAAATAGCGGCGGATTTGGGTTGTCCGTCAGACGACCCTCACAAAATAGTACAATATTTAAGAAAAGTTCCTGTAAACGACTTGGTAAAGGCTTCTATGTTCAAATCTACATTTCAAGTACGTATTTACGTGAAAATATTACTATAGCAAAATAACTGTGATTGAATTTACGATAATACTTCAAACACCGAGCGTTCAACTCCAATAAAATCTATTTAATAATTAATGGAAACAAACTACAGTAACAATATTTGTTTTATATTAAAATATAAATTGTACAGTAGGTCAAATATATTTTTTATTGGCCGAAAATATAATTTTTTTTTTGACGTAGGGCCAAAGAGAAATTTTCATTTACCAATTTGTTCCATCCATTGAAAGCGATCAAGTAAGTGAAAAATTAATACCAGCTCATCCAGAAGAGCTGTTGAAAAAAGCCTCTTCAATTCCTTTAATATGTGGACTTAACGACAGAGAAGGAATGTTAATGTTTAAAGGCAAATAAAATCTTAATTTATTTTGCATGAAATACCGTAAATCTCCATTAATGAATAATATGTTACTTGTATAATCGTTGCGTCATGAATTATTATTTTTATTTTTTTAGATTATAAGTCGAGACAAATAAAGAATTTTAATAAAGTCGAAGAAATAAGTAAATTCCTCGAAGACGATGCCAAATGTGATGAATTTATAAATAAGATCCAATCGTTTTACTTTAATGGTCATGATTTAAAAACTGAGATTGAGAAATTAGAAAGTATTTGCGCGGTAATAACATAATATTGTCAATAAATTTATAAAACAATTTAAACTTGTCATAAAAATTGTTTGGTTGTATTTATAAAAATTGTTTGGTTGTATTTCCAAAATTTGCTGTTGTTAAAAATATAAAACAGTTTTTTAAAAAGTTCATTTATAAAATTGTCAATATGAACGCTAAAATCATAAGTCAAAAAAAAATAAGGTTGAAACATTTTTTTATTTTTTTATTTTTTCATTTATATTTTGAATTTGAGTATAAATTCAGTCAGATTAACCTAAAATTGTATTGATCTACAAATTGTAGAAATCTTTAAATGCTTGCGTTGCAATGTGAACTGAAAAAAATTAATTGAACTTTTAAAATAAAGTTCTTAGGTATGAGTAATTTATTTTTACGTTTTGTCTGTTAATTTTTTGTAATGATGATAATAATCTATTATTTAAAACATTTTTTCAGCTATTCACTGATGTATTTTTCGCCAAAGATTTCTACAAAGGATTCAACGACTTAATCGTAGAAGGCATTACACCCGTTTACAACTATGAATTTAAATTTGACGGAGAACTTAATATTAAAAAACTTATTTTTTGTACAAGACCGAAATTGCTTAACTTAAAAGGTACACATTATCAGTTTTATCATTTTTGACATAACTCAAACAACTTAATTTTTTGGTTAATTTTACATAAAAAAAATCGTTTAAAAAACTTTTTTAAGCGTTTTTAGACTATTGGTCGTTTTTTATATAGTTGGTTATGTTTTTAAATTACACTTTTTTTATGTAAATAAATAGGTATTGCATCAAATCCTTCCTCGTTATGAAATAATTTGTGTTTCTTTTGAAAAATGATATTTCGCTCATTATTCAGAGTAAACGATCACTGCCGAATATTAATTAATACTATGCATCGACAGGAGCGTGTCACGCTGATGAATTGTATTATTTATTCTTTGGTAAATTTATTGCACTCATGCCTAAACCAAATTCTAAAGAACTAAGTGTGTGCAGAACAATGTGTAAATTATGGACTAACTTTGCAAAAACAGGGTTTGTTATAGGTGTTTTTTTTATTACACAAAAACTGTTGAAATAAAACAATTTTACTTTTAGAAACCCGAATTCATCAGATCTTAATGTCAAATGGGACTTTACAAGTTTGGAAAAACCTAAGTATCTTTCAATTGACGGCGACGATACTCATATGGTCGAAGGCCAAGTGAACGAAGCCAGAGTAAAATTTTGGAAACACTTAGACGAATTATTAAAACTAAATCAAAAGCTGTGATGTTCTGTTGTAAATATTATTAGTATTCATTATATAATACTTGTACGTGGTTATGTGTATAATTTTGAATTTATTTGTAAAAATACTATTCTTGTAATATTCTTTATATATATATATATATATATATATATATATGTATACAGGGTGTAATACAAAGCTCTACTGAACTTCAAATGAGACAGTCAGAAGCTCTATGAGTACAATAAATGGTATTAATTTTTTTTTATTTTAACATTATTTTTAATAGAACTGGTATCTCATTAAAACATTGTCTTATGAAACAAATAATTTTAGATTCGAAATTGGAAGAAAAAATCTTGTTGAATTGATTTGTAACATGATTTTTTGGCCGGCGTGTGACTAAAACCAACATGTGACACATCATTGAATATAAATTAGTTCTACAAACACCACTGAGTTTAGAATAAAATTATTACCGCCCAAATCTTATGGAGTTCAGTAATACGTTTTAAGTTCTTTAGTTTTAAACTTCTTGATCGATTCAGTATCGAATTTTTTTTGTTTCTCGGATTCGTGAATCCGATAAAAACATGGTAATGACATAAATGTGCTTAATATTGTTCTGCTAGAATTAGGGAGAATACTATAGGGTTGATCTCTGTCTAAAATTAATTGACACCGTTATGTCGTATTTAACAATAAAATTAAAGTATTTTTAGAAACATGTTGATCAGTTTCCACGTTTCATGGATGTTACAATCAATAAAGCAAAATGTACTACAAAAAAAACATTTTTTTCATTGGGTAACCAGACAATTTAATTCGGCATTAAATATAAGAACATAGGAAAACGAGTGTTTTTTGAACTGCTGTACTTAAAAACATCTTGTTTGATTAAAAGGCACAATGCGAAAACACTGACTTTATCGGTGATAAAAATAGTAACGACAAATTATATCGTGACACTGTTGAATAATACGATTTACATAGGCATATATTGATAGCAAAGAAACGTATTCCGCTTAGCAAAATTTGTTTTGTACCATTCAGTGTTCATACAGGGTGATTCATCTGATGTACGATGCTATGTTCTTGGAAAATATGAATATTTTTAGAGAAACATGTTGCTATATCGGTTGATAGGTTAATAGACGTAACCATCAAAACTTAAATTATACAGGAGACACTAAAATAGCATGTGCATATTGATTTTATGGAATAAAAAGTTGAATTTGTTTTTAATCGTTTTAAAAATAGTTTAAGTATAATTTAATATACTGCTCGCAAAAGTAAATAGAAGGCTTAACCACTTTATGTTACTCTAAAGTGAAGTTACTCGTTGGTTACGCTGTGTCTTAAACTAACTGACCATGTACAAATTAGTTTGCCTTAAAATGATTAATATTATGTAGTGGCTTTCATCATTTGGTATTTAGTAAACTGATTTTGTCAGTGGGTTACACCAAAAAAAAAAAAAAATTTAATGACAAATTTTGAACAGAAAAAATAATGTGAGGGTTAACACAGTTGACCAAAATGTGTATTTCTATTTATATAATCGATTGCAATCATATCCTCAAAATCGAAAAACGTGAGGGTTACATCTATTGACCTATCAGCCATCGATATTTTTAATACTAACATTTTTTTTATCTTCATCCCTACGTAAAAGAAGTATGGATTTCGGTTTTTTAAATGGAACGAACACGTGTTTTTAATTCCATAAATATATAGACAAACAATTTATACGATTTATGTGTTTGAATTTTCATAAATTGTTGTGTTCGTTTGCAATGGCTTTCTAATGATTTGAATTAAACATCAGTATTTGTTTGTTTTTTACAACAGTAGCATCATCATCAAATAATAATATTGACCTCTATCGATAACACTGTTATCTGTGATGGGCGCATACTTTTTGCATCCGGGAAACTACGAACTACATCCGATCCTTTTCTTAACTTATCTACAGTATTTGTCTTTCAGGCTCAGGTATATACAACATTGCAGCATTTTTCTTGTTTGGTTTCCCTTGCCAGACATTCAATTGTATCTTGTTATCCTATTTATTAGCTTTTCGCAAAAGCGTCTACGGGTTGGTGTCTGTGTGATACCCTCAAAAACCTTCATAAGGTCTAATTTTGTGTTATCAGGTTACAATGAATACGTAATATGGGCCCTTAAGGTAGTGATGGATTTTTTTTCATTCCATAAGCGACAACAACGTTGTTAATTATAAAAAAAATTTATATTCTCTTACCATACTAGGTTTCAATAAAAAAAATAAGAAAAATACAAGGTAAACAATAGTGTTACGTATGTCAAACCATTCCAACTAGCGACAAAGCGGTTATTTGTATTTATTCGTCTTTAAACTTCACAAGTGTTCTGGTTTTTTTTTTGTGTGAAAAATATACATTATATTGTTACTATCGAAATAAACCAGTCGACAAGTTAAATCCTTGAAACTTAAAATGAAGAAAATTAGTGTGGTTTTATCGTTCGTAATATCTATGCAAATTGGCTTGTTGAAGACTACCTCATTCAAATCTAAATCAGACGAAGTAATTACGAGAAAAATAATATTATAACATATATTAAATTTTAAGTAATCAACATACAAATGCTTTTTTTTGTCATTAATATCGAATTTAAATAACACATAAAGCGTTTATTCGAAACGGGGCATCGACCATTATTTTTATTGCATTATTTTACATTTTAAAGGTAAATCAATTTTTGTTGTGTTTTTAAATTTAACTGCTGAAAATACCTTTACAAATGATATTTTCAGATGGAACATTAAAATCATATGTAACTTGTGAAAACTTCACTTTTTTTGGATAAATTTATTATTTATTTTTATTACAATTTTTTTCACCCCGTCAATCGATGTCCTACGCAAAGAAAAGGTTTTTTTTCTTTATAAATTCAATATTTATGCACCCAGATTTAAATTTGAATCTTACAACTTTTGTTTTTAGTTAAATGTAGATATTATGACATTTTTTTATAATTGAGTAATACATAGGAAAGTACTCCTTGTTTTAACAAAAATAATAATTATCAATACCCTGTTATTTTGAATAAATCATTGTTAATGTAAGTGAAGTTTTAAAACAATAAAACCCCTTGTTTGCCTCTTTAGTATTACAACTGTGCGATAATATACACAGGGTGATTCATTAAAGATAAGAAAATCATTTTTTCTTTGTATAATTATTGCAGTTTCATTGGTTTTTTTTTTTAATAATTGGCTTTTATTAGTTTACAATATTATAAAATTATAAAATAATCACCGTTTAAAATATAAAACAGGAGATGAAGTGAGGTTGAGTAATGCGTGCAGATAAAAATAATACTAAACTCCACCTTTTCTCCCATCTCAATTTTTTTAAGTAAAACGGTTAAACAGTGCTTAGAGATAATATTGCACTCCTCCTAGTAAAAACAAGTTTAAATCTCAGTAATTCTAAAAATATTTGTCCAAAACTGGTTATTGACCAGTGATTATATTTCAAGGATGATTCCTAATTCAATAAGTATTTTAAATATATGGGTTACCAATTAAATTTTCAAAATTTATCAAAAATAAGTCTAATATTAACAGACTGTTAATACTAGACTAGTATAAATAATATATAATGAATATAAATAACAGTCTACTGAATCACAAAAAAATTGGGAAGAAAGTGTAGAGCTACACTAACGTTTTTTTCGGCGACCAATAAAATCCGCAGCACGATAAGGCGGTTTGTTTGTATCTTAATAATACATGTTGCGGTTGTTTACTGATCGGTGCGGATTTTATTGGTTTTATGTGGCTCTACACTAAGGAACTATTATTAGGTATATTAATAATTCTCGATCGCTGATAGCTATCTATAAATACATTAGTTGTTTAAATTTCAAACAGCATAATACATTATATTTTTATATTATATTATAATATATAATACTGTTATTAAAATAGTTTCAATTTTAAAAGTTTTAATAATTCACAAGTGAAAATTTTGGCGCCCCCAAAATACTGGCACTCGGGGCAGTTGTAGCCAGTGCCCCCCCCCCCTAAATGCGGCCCTGTTAACAGCACAGCATATTTTATTGGCTAAAATGTACTTTTAAATCATCAAGTTTAATGATTAATTTGCGAGAACATAAAAATAAAACTTTAAAAGTATAAATATATGATAGATAAAGTTATACCGAAAAAAAAATAAAATAAAAATTGTATATCTTAAATATTTCCCTAGAAAACGAGTGTCTGAATCACTTATAAGTTATATATATTTAACACTACTACACGAAACACAATGTGTTTTAATTATTTTCAAAGCCACCACTTGTATTTGAGATGCTCAATATTAGGCCACGCCTACATAACATTTTCTTCATGCCTTATTCTCTGGGTTTTTTTATCTCTCCCTTCAAAAATTAAATCGTATTACACTGTCTTTCACTCGCAAACCTTCAATACTTGGTTTATCAAAAGTAGTACTCTATAATTAGAGTTTATTATATTCTTCTATGAAATGTAATTCTATCTGTAGCACATAATTCATGTACCACAATATGAGTTGAATTAAATTTAATTGTGAATATTGAAATGAATACAAATTAAATAGTTCATCTTATATGTTTAACTAATTTTACGGTGTTTTTATTGTAAGTAAAAATATTATTTTACTTATATATATTGTTATAATTTTATTACAATACTTATAATTATATTTATCGAGCATTATTTTTCCCCCAGGAAAAAGAAGCCGAAGACTACAGTTTATTAGACACTCACAGTTTGGAATTTGTTAAAGTAATCAATGAGTTCAAGACCTACAGTCAGAATCCAATTACGTTTAACGACGACGAGCGTCTTATGCTGACGTCTTCGACGACTTACAGTAAGTTCAATGTCGAGGGCAAAGAAAAAGTGCTGAAAAAATTCAACAATAAAGTACAAGAGATCAAATGTACAAACGCCGTGATCGCACAAACCATCTTGCAACATTCGAAGGCCATCATAAACGTGTCGTTCAACAGCGAGAGTGAACGCGTCACCAAGATAAAACTAGTATTTTACAAACTCAAAATCTACTTGGCCAGAATGTTGTCGGTACTGTTCATTGCCAAAACCGTGTCGCCAAATTGGTTGTGGCTGTTGTACTTTAGAGTTTACGGTGTCGTAGATGCGGAAAACGAGAAGTTCACAGTACCGGATGCCAATTATCTCGTCGGCAACAGTGAACTGAATGCCGACATTGCAAAATGCATACACAAGTGCGAAAACATTTACCTGGACGAATACTACGTTGATGTCAACAGTTTGGTCGTGCCCATCCGTTCGATGGACGATATTGACGTTCTGATGGATAGAATGTTCAAACCACACGACCACACGGCTTTCAAGTACGCCTATAGACACCAGCAAGATTTTACCATTTCGAATTTGTACTTGCAAGAACTTTGGGATAACCACGCGTTGTTGTTCGAAGAAATCCCCGGTGCGCTGATCGACTGGGCTGCGACGGTAAGTGATTTGGACGCGGCCAACATTTTAATGAGGAACCACGTTGCAAACCGGATGTGGGTAAAGCAACCGTTCCGAGTCAAGATCTATCTGGAGCTTATAGTGAACATCGTGATAGTCAGGTTGTACTTGTATTCGTGGACACACTTGGCGGCCTATCGGAAAGCCAGTGCGACCTGTTCAAAAGAACATTCGGTAAAGATTAATCAAGATTTTCATTTGCTTTTCAAGTCAGCCGCCGAAGCGATTCGCTACAAAGACGAATTTATGGACGAGCTCATAGAATTCCTTAACTTTTATTATCGAGATGAAATCGACACAAACCAATTAACCACCATGTCAATGCGCATTAAGAAGAAGGCCGATTTGATCTTGAACGATTTTAATATAAATCAATGGTCGCTTACAGACGATAAACCCGGCTTGAAACTTTTGGAAAACAATTCGGCAGCATTACAGAAATATTTAGAAAACATTAAAAAAACATTGCGTCACACCAATATCGAACTCATTTTATATTTTCTTAACGGAGAACGATATAACGAATAAATGTTAGTCGAATAGATTTTATTTGTTAAAAAGACGCTACATGTCAGTTTTTTTTAGATGAAATGTATTTATAGATAAAAATATTAAGATTTGTTTGCTTACAATTTGTTAAAAAAATTAAAATTTATGATAACCTTATAAAAAAAAAATTTACCCACAAAAACTCTTCATTGCTACACTAATAAAAGTACACTACATTTTTATTATTAAATTAGGATTTCATTTTGAAAAAAAAAAAAATTTGGCAATGACCATTTAAGAAACGACATATTTATTTATTTAGAAGATAATCATTTGTTTTTAAATGTTTGCCAATAACGTCTTAGTATAATAATATTACGTTTAATAATATAATATAATAATATTATGTTTCAGTCTTTATTAAATATTATTGATAAATGTATCATTGTTTTAATGTGTATTTAATTATGTTAAATTAAGTAAACATTTTGTGCTGTCTTTTACTAGTTAAATAATTTGAATGTATAGTTTTTTGTTTATTCTTTATTATTGACTCTGGAAAGACATAATTCTCTGCACAATCCTTAACCCATCTTTGGATCTCCCTTAATTTAATCTCAAGTGGTATCAATACAAATCCAAATTGAATTACAGCAGAGACATGTTAAGATTTTTTTTAGTGTATCGTTTGATTATTTGATTTACTTACAAGTGAAATCTAACAATGCCGGCGACAATTCCGAAATAGGTCTATTTATTTTTCTCTCTAAGTAAAAAAAAAAAACAAAAGGTATGTAATAATTATTTACTAAACCATGAATAGCTGTCAAAAATGCTTGGTGCAATGATGAAATTGTTCATCAATATACAATACGTTTATATTTGATACAAATTTAAGTATGTATAGGTCGAACTATACCGCTTGATTTATTTTATTGCTTTTAATAAAATTGTCATTTTCGTATTTGATTTTAATGGTACCTATCTCACATATGACGATCATTTTCTTTCAGTTTGGAGTGTAATAATTGTGTTGTTTTTTTGCACAATGTCATTTGTAGTAGTGGTTTTTCTTCTTAAATTGTGATTCGTTTTTTGCATACTGACAGCTTGTTTATTCAGAATCCTAACGTACTTTTTTCAAAAAGTATTTTACACGCTTTTGTTGTAGATTTCCATCATTCGATGTCGTTAGCCAATTCTTGTTGATAACACCATTTATATCCATTTATTATTTATATTACTTTTTCCTTTAAACTCAGCATGGGACAAACTTCATGCTCTATTTATTAAAATTAACGGGTTTTTCAAAAACGTTGCACTTGTAAAAATGACAAGCACTCAATACAGCGCAGCTTGACTATACGTTCACCATCAGTTTATTTATGTATTTTCTTAAAGCATATTTGTTTTAAAATTAAAAAACTGCATTTTATTGTATTATATTTTATTTTATTGTAATAAAATTGTATTTTATTTAAAAACAAACATTGGTTTTGGTCACATGCCGGCCACGCAGTGGCCACTCGGTGGACGCAAGTGTGGCCAGATACTCAAAAATAATGTTACATATCAATTCAACAAGATTTATTCTCCCGATTTCAAATTTGAAATTATTTTTTTTTGTAAGATAATTTTTTAATTAGACACGAGTTCTATTTTAAATAATTTTAAAATTAAAAAAAAAATGAATACCATTAATTGTACCTATAGAGCATCCTGAATATTTCATTTGAAGCTCGATGGAACTTTACTTTACACCCTGTAATCTTGTATATATACAGATATATACAATAGACAAGCATTTTGCTTTTTTTAAATGCATGCATAAACTTTCTAAGTCCTCCATTTTGCTTAATTAGAAAACAAAGCTTCGATTAAGCACAAGAAAAGGTGTTGAACTAATATTTTTGTTTTTATTAATTTATTTCAAATAAACATCTAAGAAATACTGATGGTCACTGCAAAGGTGCGTTTAAAAAACAAGCAAATAACTTGGTACAGACTTAATATTATGATTTGAAGTTTATAGAAAATTGTCTGGGATATGGTGTAACAACTTGGTATTATATGTCAAACAAAAAACAGTATACAACAGATTAAAAAAATATTGGTTGAAAGGCCTATTTTTTTCTACTCACTGATTACACATATCATAGGAAAATTTCACTGTATGAATATAATGAAAACCTCCAAGTTTCATTTAAATGCATTTAATTAAGAATATATTATTATGATTATTAACAAATTGAAGGTTAGGTTAGGCTTTTGTACAAATTATTGTTAATTTTTCAGTAATCATAAATTTAATAATTTTTTTAAAGCGTCAAATGTGTATGTTGTTGAGTAGTATATACATTGTGTAATGGGTATAGATATTGCTGATAGGCCAGAACTTAACTATTTGTATTTAAGTTCTATCAATAATACAGGGTCCGGCAGTGAAACGGGATGATTTCAATACTTAATTACTATTTAATGAATGAATACATTTTAATAAATATAAATATAAAGTATAAGAGTTACAATTTTATGTTCAATACAAAAAAATACTATTTTTTATGTACTACGTTTGCCAAATGACCTCCATTGTTATTTATGCATTCTTGTAGGCGGAACATAAAGTTTTGCATGACCTCTCGCAGCATATTAATGGAAATTGATTCAATCTCGTCCCGAATGCGTTGTTTGAGTGTTTGGATAGTTCTTGGTGGATTGGCCTCAAACACTTTTGATTTAAGGTATCCCCATAAAAAAAATCGCAAGCCGTTAATATGCTGCGAGAGGTCATGCAAAACTTTAAGTTCCGCCTACAAGTATACATAAATAACAATGGAGGTCATTTGGCAAACGTAGTACATACAAAATAGTATTTTTTTGTATTGAACATAAAATTGTAACTCTTATACTTTATATTTCTATTTATTAAAATTTATTCATTCATTAAATAGTAATTAAGTATTGAAATCATCCCGTTTCACTGCCGGACCCTGTATTAGAAAGTTCCTATAAACCACTTTAATACATGAGTATGACTTTTTCAAAATTGAAAATGTATTATTTTCATTTCCCAAGTAAACATGAAAATATTGTAGGTATGTAGGTACATACACCTACAGCTACAAGACGGTAAACATATGTCATGAATAAAGGTACTTCATTTATTCGCGACAGTACACAAAATGAATTTGAAGTTCAATGTTAATGGCAGCTGTTGTTTTGAATACTAAAAAATAAATCCATTTACATTTTTATCATAACGTTTACCATAAAAGCTTTAAACTAATAGTTAAAACTTACGTGGTAAAAAAATGATGTTTAAGTATATTATTTTTAATAAACTAGTTTTTAATGGCTATAGCAGTAGATTTGTCTTCACATGAACAAGTGGTAAGTACTGTTAGCACTTAGCACACATAGCAATATGGACAATTTAAAACGATAAAGCATGTTTTTGTTTTTACTTTGGTTTTACATAATAAGAAATAGTTTGAATACAAATTGTTGAGAAAACTATATATTCTATAGTCCCTTTTTAGATCTACCTTAGGTCCAATTTTAGATCATGAGTCTCAAAATTAAGCTAAAAAAAATTTAATAAAAAAAATTGTCCAACCAATCGGGAGGAAAGTGTTTTAAATACTTGTATGGCTTGTGTATCGATAATACTATTTATAACGAATATTCCAGGTATAATTCAGCTATTTTTATAAATAGGTAAAAAGCCATACTATAATATAATAATAATTTATATTATTTTATACAAAAATTCTTTTTATATAAATGTATAATAAATTATACATATGCAATATGCATAAATTATGAATATGCAAAGTTATATGAATATTAATTATGTGTATACACTTTTTAGGCAACGCAAGCATTTTACAAATACATTCAGAAAGAATTGAAAGCGAATTCCTTTTCCATTAAAGAGCTCAAAAAATGTATACCAGAAAGTTGGTGGAGTGTTTTAGATGAATATAAGATAAGACATCATACTATTAAAGATAGAAGTACAAAACTATAATATTTCATGTTATTATTAAAGTATAGTATTAAAAAATATTTTAATCGCTTGTTACAAAATTGAGGACAATTTTTTTTTATTGCGAAATTAATATTTTAACTTAAATACTTTCACTAAAAATCTTTATTGTACATAAATAAAAATAAAAAATAGTTAGTAGTTTTTAATGGAACTGTAAAAGGCTCTTTTTTCAAGTATAAAATGTGAATGAGGCAAATGTAAAATAAGAGACTACTATTGTTTGTTTATTAAACAGTCATGAATATTTATTACTGAACAGAATAATAAACACTGGGTGGTGATGTAAATAGTATTATAGTTACCCCATTTTTCGGCCATAGGCGTGAATTGAGGGGGGCTTGGGTGTACTCATTACTCCTATAATTATTATTATTTATTTGGCCTAGGTTATAATTATGAACTGAATGTTTGTTATTTACTCTATTGCTCAAGGAGACGAAAGATGATGTTTTTTAAGTAAATATAGTACTTGTTTTAGTGTTTAATTGTTTTGTATTCAAGACATTAAAGTCTTTAAACAGTTTTGAAGTCGGATGTCTGGAATATTTTTTACAAGCTACCCTGATAGTTGTGCTTTGAAAGGTTTGAAGTTGTGTAAATTCATTATCGTAGGCCCCACCCTTACTTATTTTACTATAATATATAACTATTAGATATTCATCAAGTGTTAAACATAACATTCTAACATCCTTAATTGATAGAAACTCACGTAGTTGCTTTATCACACAGATAATTTTTCTTAACTTATCTAAAACAGTTTAGATCTAATACTTTCATTTCATGCCGGTACACATTTCAATACCAATATAATGTATTCAAAGTTCCCAACAACATTGACTAATTTACAATGGCATAGATTTAAAATTATTGTTGCCAAGTATCTTACATTGTTTTTTTTTCTAAGAGAGAGATTTACCTTTTTATGGTGTTATATATTTTCATCGACTATGTATATTGACACGATTATGTAGAAGGCAAGCTAAACATGTTTAAAACAATCGGATGTGATGCACGCAGCTTAATTTGAAATTTTATTATAATAAATTAATATAATTTCTTACAAAAATAAATTACTGTAAAAACACAATTTCGATCAATCAGTAAATTTATTAATAATTCTGTATTGTTACGTTTCTTTTTATATTGAATTAAATATAAGTTTCAAATCTTCCCTGGAATTTTAAATTATCTTACTAAATTTGAATTTAATGTTGTAAAGTTGTATTTTAATAACAATATTTATTCTAG